GTATGTTGGCCCCGCAAGAGTGCCCGGCATGGCCTGTTGTTCTGTGTGCAGTGACTTCAGTCTCTTACGCAGGCTGCGGACGCTTTGACAGTTGCACCTTAGAGGACGTGGGCGTGTGGTAAGTTGGTGTAGGTTTCAGACGTATTGCTGGTCTTAGATGAGGCCCACAGTAGGAACTGGGCCTCTCCAGAGCCTTCTTCCATGACATCTTGTAGGCACAGGCTCTTTCCTACCCTAGATGAGCGTGCCAAGCCTTAGCACCATTCTGTTCCACCCTTAAAGAATTCCCAGTGATGCCCCCAAAACTACACACAGCCAGACCTCACTTGGAGAGTTTGATTCCATCTGTCTTGATCTGGACTTGGGAATCTGCATCCATGTATCAATCTGTAGGCGATTCAGATGTGCAGCTACCATTGAGAATCACCACCTTAGCGCTTTCCAAAATGGGACACTAAATGTATCATTTGTGTGTAACAGTTACAAGAAGATCTGTACAGCCAAGAATCTTGTCCTAGCTCTGGCACTTATTTGCTGTGTGATCTCGAACGGTTAACCTCTCTGTGCCTTATTTTCATAATCTCTGTTATGGGGATGATAATTGTACCTACCACATATGGTGGTTTGAGAATCAGATAAATCAGCCTATGTAAAACACTTAGAATCCAGTAGTCTCTCAGTAAGTTGTTGTAAGTGTAAACTTATTTAGAAGAAAGAAAAAAAAATGGCCATCTATTTGCTTTCAGGCTTTTTTTATTTGAATCTGGTAAGAAAACAGGAAATTGCTTCGTTCTGCATCTGTCTAGCCATTATGGTATCTGGGCATAGAGAGAGCTATGGAGCTGTGGAGCTATTTTGTGGGGCCAGATTTTCCTTTTAATTCTTGCTGTAATTTCTGTCTCTCTTAAAAACTTTTTTATAGAATGCAGTTTTAATGAAGAGTTAATTATATATTTTTAAATCTCTTAACGGGATTACTTCTGCCTTCTCCAGGAGTCAGCCCATTAGCCAGATAAGGTACTCATCCCCTGTGACAAATATACATATTCTGGGTACATACTCAGTATTTTTTAAAATGTAACTTATCGTCAGGTTAGCTAACATGCAGTGAATACAGTGTGCTCTTGGCGTCAGGAGTAGATTCCCGTGATTCATCGCTTAATGTAACATCCAGTGCTCATCCCAACAAATGCCATCCTCAATGCCCATCACCCACTTTACCCTCTCCCCTGCCCCATCAACCCTCAGTTTGTTCTCTGTATTTGAGTCTTCTTATGGTTTGCCTCCCTCTCTATTTGACACTGTTTTTTCCATTCCCTTCCCTTCCCCCATGGTCTTCTGTTAAGTTTCTCAAATTCCGCATATGAGTGAAAACATTTGACACCTGTTTTTCTTTAGCTGACTTATTTCACTTAGTATAATACCCTCCAGTTCCATCCACATTGCTGCAAAGGGCAGGATTTCATTCTTTCTCATTGCCAAGTAGTATTCCATCGTATATATAAACCACATCTTCTTTATCCATTCATCAGTTGATGGGCATTTGGGCTCTTTCCATATTTTGGCTATTGTTGACAGTGCTGCTGTAAATATTGGGGCACATGTGCCCCTATGAATCGGCACTCCTGGATCCTAGAAATACCCTACGACCCAGCAATAGCACTACTCAGTATTTTTTAAGTTCAGTTCACTTCAACAAATATTCGCTAAGTTTATCCTAGGCGTGAGGCACTTCTGGGAGAGGGAGGCAATGAAGGAATCTGACATTTATTGAGCAGCTGCTTTATACCAAATATACTAAGAACTTTATAGTCACCTTATTTAGTATCCGTGACTGACCACTATATCTTACAGATGAGGAAACTGAGACTTATAGGATTCACTGTCCTGGTACTTTAGAAAATCCAAGGCTCTACCCTTTCTACTTTGTCATACCATCTCAGGAGGTTCAAAGGTGAAGATGGAGAGGGTCATACCGTATTTATTTAGCATGTCATTATTTATAGTCACGTGCACACCTACACTATATGTGGGGACGTAGGTCCAGAGCTGCTGGCTGTCCTGTATTCCACATGACTTCTCTAGAGCTGATAATAACCTGCGTTTGGGGGGCCTTGACCTAAGGGAGTGCCGTTGTCTTATCCCCCAGGATTATTGCAACAACCCCATGAAGGAATTAATATTTAGTAAGCACTTATTATCCAGGTCAGCCTGCCTCCGAAGCCCAAGGTCTTACTTAATCACTGTTACACTATGTCATTATCTACATTTTATGAATGAGGACAGTGAGGCTCAAAGGGGCTATGGACTTACCCTTGGTGTGACCGAATCAAGCCCCTTCTCTTCCGATGATATGTTTCTGATCAATGTAGTAAAGAGGACAAGCAAGTATACAAACAAATATACTGCAAGGCAGATGAGGAAAGGAAATAGGAAAATGGCAGGTGTGTGGTCCGGTGGGATAGGAAGGAAGTGAACTATCTAATAGGATGAATAAGATTTCTAGAAACAGAAATAACCAGGAAGAATATTTGAGATGAAGGCAAGAGAATGAGTAAAAGTACAAAACACGGAACATTCAGAAAACAACAGACACACTGCTATAAATTCACTGTGGTGTGGGGTGCTCATAAGGGGTTGGGAGACTGGGTTAAAAATCTAAGTGTGCTTGAATGCAAGGAGGGTTTGCTCGTACTGTGTTGGAGAGTGGGAGCCATCGAATGTGCATGAATGAGCATGGAATGTGCTGTGATCAAAGCCACACTTTAAGATAATTGTGGTAGAGAACACTGAGACCAGGGAGAGGCCATTGCAGTAGTTCTTAGGATAAAAGGAGGATCTGAACCAGTATCAGAGTGTGGGAAGGGAGAAGTAAAAAAACCATTGCCATGGAGAGTTTGCAGAACCTCCTAACTGTCTAGGTGTTGGGGTCACAGAGAAGGAGGTAGCAAATATAGTTCTGTGTTGGAGCCTAGGTCCTTAAAAGAATTGTATCATTATAAATAAAAATAAGGAATTAAGAGGGGGTACCTGGGTGGCTGAGTTGGTCAGGTGTCTTGACTTTGGCTCAGTTCGTGACCTCACAGTTCATGAGTTCGAGCCCTGCATTGGGCTCTGCACTGACACTGTGGAGCCTAGTTAGGATTCTCTCTCTCTCTATATCTGTCTCTCAAAAGTAAATAAACAAACTTAAAAAAAAATAGGGAATTGAGAAAGAAGGACTAATGGGGGGGGGCATAGGCATCTCAGTTTGAAATAGGGCAGCTTTGAAGTGCAGGCAAGTTGTTAACGTTGAAGTACATCAACCTGAGTGGAAAGTGATGCAGCCAAATTTTAGTTCAGGTGAAGGTGATCATGGGTTAGGCCATGGAAAGAGCAGGCACAAAAAGAGAGACAAGGCATAACCTTTGGAAATTCCTACATTTGGAAGACAAATAGGTGATGAACTCTTAAAGTAGGTAAGGAAATACAAGACCATGGAAACCAAAGAAGAGAGTATTTAGGAAAAAAGATATGCCTAACAGTGGGGAATAGGACAGTCAAGGAAGCTGAAATCAGAAAAAGATCCTGAGAGCAAGTTTGATTCCAGAGGAGTGATGACTAGGGAGGGGTTGGTGGTAGGAGAGCCCAGACAACAGGGGCTACAAAGTGAGTACGCAGGGTCAGGCAGAATGAATGGGCTGCTGACTCTCCCAAGAAATCTGTCAATGAAAGTCAAGAGACAAGATCAATTCCCTCCTGTTTTGGAACGTCACATGGCATAACACGTGCAAGTCAAGGAGGGGTGGTGGCTAATAATTCTTTTTATATATGAATCTGCATTTTCAGGGGGATCTGGAGAAAATTTTTTTAGAAAGTCTTGGGAAGCAACAGGAAAGAAAGTTCTAAAGCAGTTATTCTAAAGAGGATGGATAAAACATATAATACCACAGGCTGGAAATGAACTTGCAACTTAAGAGATCACGATTTTGGCTTTTATACAACATTCCACTAATAATTAGAGGAGAGAAAAACTATAGCCTCTGGGAGAAAAAAAATATTGAAGTCATTTCCAACTGAGACACCAAGTTTCTGGAACCTGCTATTAATGCACCTGGCTACACATGGCCCTTATCTTGTAGATAAACAAGACAGCTTCCTCAAAGAGACACAGTATTCAGTGTTCTCTTACTGAGAGCTTCATTTCAAAGCATTCGCCTCATATCTTCCAACAGATTACAACAAAAGGACAACATTCTTTTGTTTTCCCTTATTATTTTTTGCAAGCTGCTGTCTCCGCACCATGTTACGGTGATGATCAGATTAAAATGAGCCCTTTTAAAAACATTCAGTCGGTGAGTATTTGAAGAAGCTACACAAACTTCCAGCTCATATGCTGTATGGATGTAATAACTCTATCATATGCTCTGGAATAAAAACCACGTTATGCAAAGAAGGGTGACGATTCCAGATGGCCCATACTTACCTCTGACCGCAAAAGACACACACACACACACACACACACACACGAAAGCGAAAATAGTACAGTTAGTGAATCACCCCCAGTTTTCCAGTTGAGATACCAAGACCTACTCTTCTTGGGGAAATAGAAGTCTCATGTGTAAAATAGTTTTGGCACATGGCTGCCTTTGTCTTCCTGTATATAACTAAGAGGCAGGAAACCAGGAAAATACTCATTGCATACTTACTCTCTACCTCAAGCCTTTATAACTTGAGAGACCCCATTTGCCATATTCTTTCCTTTCCTTTTCTTTTCTTTTTTCTTTTCTTTTCTTATTTCTTCTCTTCTCTCCTTTTCTTTTTTTTTCTTTCTTTTCTTTTCTTCCTCTTTCTTTCTTTCTTTCTTTCTTTCTTTCTTTCTTTCTTTCTTTCTTTCTTTCAAGTGTTCAGCTCTTTATTAACAGATTACAGAGAACAGGTTTAGTCAAAAAGACCAAAGCCCATGTCATCATCAGACTCCTTTGATTCTTCTTTCTTGGCTCCCACTTTCTTCTCTTCAGCTCGGCAGCCATGATGGAAATGGAGGACCTCCTGCTGCTGCAGTGCCAGCGGCCAGCTGGCCCACCAGCCCCTACGTTGCAGATGAGTCTCCTGATGTCAACACTGGCCAGGGCCTTTGCAGACAAGCCTGGCCAGAAAGGTTCAAGACTTAACATCTGCTGTTTTAATGAGGGCATCGATCTTATTCTTGGTGATCATCACATCGTCGCTGCGCAGGATGGGGCCAGAGCAGAGGCTGATGAGCTCCCAGACCGAGGCCACGATGCGGGGGAGTGTTGAACGGTGCTGCTGGGCACAGATGAAGTGAGGGGCTCACCCCAGAGTGGCCTTAGCTTCCTCGGAGGGACCAGCACCTCCCAGCAGCTGAGGAAAGGGGCTGCCCCCTACTCATAAGTGTTCCTTCTCTTTAGGAGCTTACAGAATTGAAATGGCCACTGCATTAATTTTAATGTTATTTTATTTTCATAAAATTGCACTGCAGAAGATCCAAAAAACCAAAAACATTGCCTGTAACCGTATTCTGAGACCACAATCTTTATTTTGATACATGTCCGTCAGTCTTTTTTGCTTTGCGTTATTTATGACGGAATTGTATTACAACACAGTTTTGCATTTTCTTCATGTAATTTCATGTCTGAAGCACCCATTCAGCATCCATGCCTCATCCCAGGCACGAACGCAGAGATTCCCTACCTTGTCAAGTAAAGCTACAAGGAGACTGCTGTTTACTAATTCTTGTCTCTTGAGGGAGACACATTAGTTGCTTAGATCTTAATCCAACTGTATGCTGTTCACAGTGTGTTTAGCTCCTTAAAAACAAAGAGACTACATCACTATCCAGAAGGCCTACCTGCCTCTCCGTCAACAATGTGATGGTTCTAGGGGTGTCTGGGTGGCTCAGTCAGTTAAGCATCTGACCATGATCCCTGAGTCTGGCTCTGTGTTGACAGCTTAGGGCCTGGGGCCTGCTTCGGATTCTGTGTCTCCCTCTCTCTTTGACCCTGTTTGTAGCCTGTCTCTCTCAAAAATAAACATTAAAAAAAAATTAAAAACACAAAACAACGTGATAGTTCTTTCACCTTGGGGAAATCTGAAGAAAAGTATGCTCTCACTTTTTTGAAACCATCGATTGCCTGCTTACCAGACTCATTATCCTGCACTTGCTAAAAACTGCTTTGAAATTGGGATTATCACTGACTTCAACATTAACCTAGAATCATGGTTTCTTTCTCCCTCCCTTCCTTCCTCCCTCCCCTCCCCTCCCCTTCCCTTTCCTCTCAAGCTAGTTAACATACAGTGTCGTCTTGGCTTCGGGAGTAGATTCCCACGATTCATCACTTATATACGACACCCAGCTCTCATCCCGACAAGTGCCCTCCTCAATGCCAATCACCCATTTCCCCCCCCACCACCCCCAACAGCCCTCAGTTTGTTCTCTGGATTTAAGTCTTCTTATGGTTTGCCTCCCTCTCTGTTTCTGTCTTATTTTTCCTTCCCTTCCCCTGTGATGATCTGTTAAGTTTCTCAAATTCCACATATGAGGGAAATCATGCGATACTTGTCGTTCTCTGACTGACTTGTTTCGCTTAGCATAATACCCTTCAATTCCATCCATGTTGTCACAAATGCCAAGATAACATTTTTTTTTTGCCTTCCCTTCAAGAGAGATTTTCTTAAAGCCTACTATATGCCATATATTCTGCATTCACCATGTGATATATTCCTCATAGCAACCCCAGGAAACAGATAGCATCTCCCTGTGTGGGCAGTACAGGAGGGAAAAAGTGAGGTATTCACCTAAAATCAGAAGTTAGGGAAACAAAATAGCCTCAGAGGGTTAGGCTGTGAAACCAACACAAAATGGAATGCAGAGAAGGAACTTAAAACTTCATGCTGAAGATATTTGTCAGGTTGGCTCCCAAGGATAGCAATATGGTCGTTTGGCAATAACCGTATCTGATGATTAAGCGTATTTTAAAGATTTGATTAATAATGGAAGCGTAGATGAGTGGGTGTCACCGAGTCAAATATATATAGGCTGTGCATTCCCAAGCAGGACCATTGAGTTAGTAATCTTCAGGAAACGTTTATTGAATGTCTCCTGTGGGCCATGCATTGTACTGGATGCTGGACATGCAAAGATAAGTAAGATATAGTATTTGCCGTCAAGAAGCTCAAAGTTTATTGGAGTTTAATAGACACAAAACAGAGGCACCTGGATGGCTCAGTCGGTTGAGCATCCAACTCTTGATTTCGGCTCAGGTCATGACCCCGGGGTCATGGGATTAAAAGCCCATGTCAGGTTCTGCACTGAGGATGGAGCCTGCTTAAGATTCTCTCTCACTCCCTCTGCCCCTCTCCCTGCTTGAGCTCTCTCTCTCTCTCTCTCTAAAATAATAATAATAAGAAATAGACCCATAAGCAGATAATTAAAACAAGTGTACGAGGGGAGAGATTTTCTTGGAAGCATAGAGGAAAAACACTCATCTGGGAGGCAATGGTGAGGTTTCCTGGAGGGGGTGATCTTTGAAATGAGTCTGAAGGCAGCTTCTCGAACTATCCATATTAAAGGGCTAATCTTTTTCTCTTTTTCATTTCCAATTTGCTATGTAAATACAATGAAAATGGACGATGAGACCAGTCACATTCAAAAGTACAAACCCAATTTTGTTCTTTGAGTACGCCGATATGTAATGGCTCTGGCTTATTACTATAAAAGTTTCTAAATGCTTGCTTTTCACTTCCAGACTCACCTCATTTCACCCTAAAAAACTCAACAGGACGGTTGAGAGCCAGCACCAATGCTTAGAGCACACTTTGCGAATGGCCTTGTGTTGAAGGATGAGGAGGCATCAGCCATGAACAGGGAAGGGATGGATGGGGCGGTGGGGAGGGCAGCCTCAGCAGGGACATGGCCAAGTGCAGGGAATGGGGCTGGGGGTGGAAGCACTGGGAAAATTCTTTGGGCCTCTCCAGTGACTCTTCCTTACTCCTGTTCTGTGCGGGCTCTGCTTGCCAACTTCTCCCAGCCCTGTGCCTTCCGTCTCTTTCCTTCTCTTGGATACATTTTTCTCCTTCAGGCCCTGCATTCTCCTCATCTCCTTCCAAACCTGTAATGACGACTTTTCTGGGACCAAGAGACAAAAGGGAAGAGGGGAAGTTGTGATTAGGGGAACTGCCCCATTTGTCTTCCTCTCCCTTTGGTCTGAGAACATTTCAAATTCTTTTATTTAGCATTAAAAATTTCTTTAAATGTTTACTTCTTTTTGAGAGAGAGAGAGAGAGAGAAAGACAGAGAGTGAGCAGGGGAGGAACAGAGAGAAAAAGAGAGGGAGATGCAGAATCCAAAACAGGCTTCAGGCTCTGAGCTGCCAGCACAGAGCCTGAAGCGGGGCTCAAACTCACGAACCGTGAGATCATGACCTGAGACAAACGCGGACTGACCCGAGACTTAACCAACTGAGCCACCCGGGCACCCTGAGAACACTTCAAATTCTTACTCTAACATTCCCAAGCTTGCAAAGTATGTTAAGAGTCAACAGAGAAAGGAACTGAAGAACTGGAATTTGTTAAATTCAATTTTATAAGTTAATGGAGGAAGGGGTCAGTCTCACATTTTCATTTTCTGAACCTAAAACCTGGAAAGGGGAAAGGGAGTAGAATTCTTTTTAAGTTACATGAACTTAAAAAAGGGGGGGGGGCAGTTTTGTAACATGTAATTTTTTGGTCGTCCCAGCATCATTCATGCTCGTTACGAAATTTTGTCATAGCCTCAATTAGAATAATTTCTAACTCAGAACTTGAGAATTGGCTTCAGTTAAGCTTCTGGGTATTGTTTGGGTGAACTGGCTTCCCTGGTTTCAGAAGGCTGTTTATTTGAATGATAAATTAAATATGATTGGCGTTAAACCTAGTTATAAACAGAGCAAATGATGCTTGTGTCGAACTACCCCGGGGACTCAAAGCAACACATGGTTGGGCAGAAGAAACCACGAGGGAAAATCTACAGATTCAACTCTTGTCTTTAAAATGAAAACTTTTCTATTATATTAAAGACATCAAAGCAAAATGAAACGGAAAACCACTGGGAAAAAGATGTATCACTACATTGACAAAGGACTAATATCTATGTTATACAAATAGTTTATCTACATGAATGAGAAAACCACCGAGCAGAGCATATAGTAGATAAATGTGTAAGAGGGTGTGAGAACCTAGAACAGACCCAAGATAAAAATGGAAGTAGTGAAGTCAAGATGTGTTTAAATGTGAATAAAATTAAATTAGAAAGAAATTCTAATCTCTAACGACGATCTTAGCCGTGGAAACACTGGAGGGAGTTGAAAGCCATTTGCCAGTTCTGAACCCTGTAACACATGCCTGCGTGACTATTTATGGCCAATAGACAGTTTATGTTTGGAGATGTTTTCCAAAAGGAAGAATATGTACTATGCACACAAGATACCACTGTAGCATTGATTAGAAAGCCGAAATGTTCAATAACAAGAGAATGAGGTATTACATTATGGCATGTTGACTGGATGAAGCAGAAGTATAACCCCCTAAAAATAACTATGAAGACAGTAATTCACCAACTTCGTACTCTCATCACAGAAAAATAGTATGTGGCTTAAAATATCACAGAATAAATCAATGTAAATTTTTATTTTTCTATGATTGGACGCTATCAAATGGATATGCCTAAGACTAATGAAGAAAAAATAGAAGGCTGAAAGAAGTAGCTGTTTCGCTGTAGTGCAACACTTTTTAAATCTCCTCTTTCCTTCCTTTCTTGCCTCCCGAACCCCCATCTGCTTTCTTTCATGTTTTAAATAATATGTTGGTGTGACTTTTCAAAAGCAGACTTCCATTTGTCCCGATTTCTACACTTACTTCTTTGATAGCTAGTCACGTTAAATTGTTTTTAGGAACAAAGCTAATTATAAATTGATAAATGAAAAAAGTAATGAAATAGTGAATAAAAGAGGAAAGACTTGTCTTACGAATCGGCTATAACTTGACCTCCGCTCCCCACACGTGGGAATGTCCTCTGTGTGTAGCACACTAAGTAAAGATTTCTTTTTTTAATTTTTTTTTTTTTAATGTTTATTTATTTTTGAGACAGAGAGAGACAGAGCATGAATGGGGGAGGGTCAGCGAGAGGGAGACACAGAATCCGAAACAGGCTCCAGGCTCCGAGCTGTCAGCACAGAGCCCGACGCGGGGCTCGAACTCACGGACCGCGAGATCATGACCTGAGCCGAAGTCGGCCGCCCAACTGACTGAGCCACCCAGGCGCCCCAACACTAAGTAAAGATTTCCTGCTGACCTCAGAAAACATAAAGCCTAGCAAGAAAGGAGGATGGACAGTCAAGCAGATAAAACATGTCCTCTTCACTGTATTCATTCAGGAACGTTTCAGTAAATTACTCCTGTGAACGACAATCGTGTAAAAACCGGTGAAGCAGGGCCATGAACGTGCTTGCCAGATGGAGACGTCTTTAAAGAGAGGACGTTTAAGGGGGTTTTGTTTACTTAAAAAAAAAGAATCGGGGCGCCTGGGTGGCGCAGTCGGTTAAGCGTCCGACTTCAGCCAGGTCACGATCTTGCGGTCCGTGGGTTCGAGCCCCGCGTCGGGCTCTGGGCTGATGGCTCAGAGCCTGGAGCCTGTTTCCGATTCTGTGTCTCCCTCTCTCTCTGCCCCTCCCCCGTTCATGCTCTGTCTCTCGCTGTCCCAAAAATAAATAAATGTTGAAAAAAAAAATTAAAAAAAAAAAATGAATGAATTTTTATTTTAACAATGTAGTGCATGTCTACAGTGCAATGTGCCTGGTAGTTTCACCAAGTTTTTCATGACCTCAGACAGGCCCTGCCCTCTCCCCCCTGGAGTCCCACAACTAAGAGGCAATCACTTCCAGCGCTCTTCAGAGGCTGTTCTACTCCTGGAGAGTC